TTCTTTTTTAAATCTTCACCCAAGGATATGTGTATTGATTTTAGAGAGAGAGGAAGGGGGAGAGTGTGAGAGAAAGAAACATCAATATGAGAAGGAAACAATGATCGGTTGCCTCCTGGATGTATCCTGACCAGGTATTGAACCTACAGCCTAGGTATGTGCCCTGACTGGGAATCGAACTCACACCTTTTTGGTATGCAGGATGAGGCTCCAATCAGCTGAGCTCCCCAGCCAGGACAGAGCCCACACTTCTGTATTTCCTACTTGGGAGTCAGTTTTTATGTAGTAGGCTCTGAGCAGGGGTGGCTAACCTTTTGGCATCTCTGGGCCACAGTAGAAGAAGAAGAGTTGTCTTGGGCTACATATTAAATACATTGTGATGTGTAATCACAAAAAAAATCTCATAATGTTTTAAGTAAACTTATGATTCTGTGTTGGGCCACATTCATAGCCATCCTGGACCACATGCGGCCCAAGGGCCACAGGTTGGACATCCCTGTAAGTCTAAAGCCCGCTGGACTCAAAAGTCTTTAAAAGAATAACTTATCTTCCTCAGAATGAAAGGATGAGTGTAAATTTCAGAGTACTTCAGAGTAGTGACGTCATTAAAAACCGAAAGAATTTAGTTACTCTGAGAAGAGTTTGTGGATTTTTCTATGTTGATGGTTTTATATATATATATATATATATTTTTTTTTTTCAGTCTATCACTCCAAAGTCAAATACTTAACAATTCCTCAATGAAAAGTTCTTAAATACCAACAATGTACTTATTTCTGTAATGAGTTTTAAGTTCATGTAAGAGTTCTGCATTCAAACTTTAAAAGCATTAAGAATTTAAGTAAAAGTAAACAGTTTCATAAAATATACATAAACAGCAACAGCTACACATGTGCAATAAGCTACAAGTATGTAACTGAATGTCTGCCGGCTCAGCAGCTCTGCGGCAGATAAAAGCTGCACGTTGGTGCCCAAGTCCACATCAAGTCTCCCTCATGACATCTGCGAGTCCCCCGCAGTGACACGAGACGTTCACATGAGCCTGTCACTGCAGTCACCCAGCACCATGCTCCATGACTGCCTTGTCTTCCTCTATACCCATCTCCTCTTATTGTGCCTGCTGCCCCCAAAGCAGTGTGGAGAAGGTCCCCCTGTCTATCATAAAGACGGCAGTGTCCTTGCCTAGTTTCCAATAACACCGTCGTCTCGGGATGTTCCCAGAGCTTTCAGCCTGGAATGGCCAAAGGGGTGTTACTTCCCTGCAAAGTCAGGGAGCCTGTTCGCCTCAATTCTAATTTTTACCAGGCTCCCAAATCTGCTCTTCCTACTTCGTGGCTTCTGTCACCTCACCCCTGCCCACTGCAGGTTTTCTAATTTGGTCCAATGGGCCAGACAGAGAACCCCTCCTTCACCTTCTCTCTCCTCCCTCAACCACCAATTCTTTTCTCCGTACCTTTATGGGGGTGGGGGGAAGTAAAGAAAGAAAAAGCCCTTTATTTATCATGATTGTGAACAGAAGTGTGTGTGTGTGTGTGTGCGTGTGTACCCAAGCAGTATTGTCACCAGGCTTTCAGCTCAGATGAGTCACAGCATTATCTGGAAGGTTTCACAGAATAAGGAAGATCTCATTTACTGCACAATATGGGAAGGACTGGCTGTGCGTCCCAGTAGAAGGGTGCTCCCAGCACAAGGAAGGACTAACCAGCAAGCTCTAGGACACAGGGGTGGACGTGAGCGGGGCTTGTTCAGGGAGCAGTGAGGACAGTTAGGCTTGGACAGGAGTTGCCGCAGGGGAGTCACACAACACGAGGGCCGAGGGCTGGGGCGGAGCTGAGGTATAGAACACAAACTGATGAGAACAGATTTATTGTGGTTGATCGCTGATCCCGAGCAAGCTCCCGGGGGGGATCGGAGCAGGGGACGCAGCAGGATGAGAGTGGTTATTTACAACTTCCAAGAGAGCGCGATCTGACCAGGGGCCGGACAGAGACCGGACAGGCGAGAGTGTGGAAATCTGTCTTCACGAGGAGAGAGAACTGCCGGGGGAAGCACGCATGGGGGACCCCTGGTCCCAGACTGGACAGACGCGAGAAGCGTGAGGGGTTCTGGAATAATCTGGCTTCCTCCTGCTGTGAGGTTGTCCCTTGATGAGTTCCCTTTGACTGTGAACTATAGTCTAAAGGAAATGTCTATTGACATTCAGACTGGTCTTGCATCCTTTACCTCACCTACACTTCGTCTCATCAATTATTTCTCCTCACTGAGTATCATTCTCCGTGGCCTGCCTCCACGGCCCCCGGCTTTGTCAGCTCTACTCTCTGTTGCACCCTCTTGCTGTGAATCTTGGTCTTGCCAGCTGCCTGGCCCGCTCTCTCGACCATCCTGCCTTCTCTTACATCCTACCCTCCTCTCTGTGTGGATAAAGATGGCAGGGGTCTTTTGCCTCTTGACAGGCCATCACTATGGCCTATCCTGCCTCCCAGACCTCCTTGCCTCGCTTATTCCATCATCTTCTCCCTAACTTAGAGGAAGGGAAATGAAAGAAAATATTTTAATTGGAAACTTCAAAATCCGTGCATGAAATACTGAGCATGTAAGCCCCTCCCTGGAGCAGAAGACAACACCCAGTTCCTTAAAGGTAGTCTCTGTTTGTAGTAGAACTGTTGGCTGTTCTTCACCTTGATCACTGAGGGGGTGTTTATGGGTCCTAGCTGGGAACTAGCCCTCCATCGAGTATAGAACTGCAGGAATTTCATGAACCCAAGCTCAGCCCTCTGGAAGATCGCAATGTCACGTTTTCAACGTGGAACCATAACGCTGTGTGCTTGGATGACAGTTCAAAACTCGTTCGGGGTGTGGAGCCAGGGATGGTCGCTAACGGAAAGGTAGAATGGATATAATAACCAAAGATAGCTATTACAGGGAGATGATAATGTATGGATAATGGATATAATAACCAAAGAAGCACAGCTTTTCTCTCAGCATGACACAAGAAAGAAACAAAGATGGATCCTACCAGATTTTGTGTCTGAATCAAGAGACACCCTCTTGGGGAAGGTGTGAGCCTTTTAATATTGCACAGGCAGCTCAGCTCCGAAGCAGCCATCTCTGACCAGAGGTATGGTAGGCAGTGCCTTGTGGGGTAGGGGCAGCCTTCCTGGAGCACGTCCCCGAATTCTCCCCTGATCCCAGCCAGAAGCAGCCACAGAAGGACCTTTCTCATTGAAGCATGGCTGTCCCCCTACTGAGGCTGAGAATGGCCCTGGGAGAGAGAGAAGGTGATAGATTGTTAGCCGGTGGAGCAGATTGAAATTGTAGGGGCACAGGGAGAGTTTACGTGAACGTGGTGTGTCAGAGCTGCCATAACACTACACCACGACTGGGTGGCTTAATTGACAATCTTGGTTTCTCACAGTCTGGAGGCTGGAGGTCCAAGGGCAGGGTGCCAGCAGTGTTCAGAGGCCCCTCTCCTGGGCCTGCAGATGGTCGCCCTCCTGATGCTGCTCATGGGATGGGACCTCAGTGCATGTGCCTCCCCGTGTCTCTCTCTGTGTCCAAATATCCTCCTCTTACAAGGACACCAGCCAGATTGGATTAGGACCCATGGGAAGGCCTCGTTTCAAGTTAATCATCTCTTTAAAGAACACATTTTCAAATACAGTCGCCTTCTGAGGCAGGGGTTCAACGAATGAGTTTCAAGGGAACAATTAAGCTCATAACAGGTCGCCTAAGGGAATCTTTGCTTGAACACTAAGAATCATCATGACTAACATTTACAAGGTGTCACTTCGTGTGTGCCAGGGACGGTTGTATTTCTCATGTATTATTCCATCTCATCTTCACAACTGTGGAGTGTCTAGTTTAGGTTATAATTAATTGCAGATTACTACCTGCTTTTCTGAAAAGTGGCCAACTTCACGTCGTGTAATCACGGATCCAGTGAGCGTCACAGCCCAGTCCGTGGCCTGGGGTCCCTGGCGTTTGATGTGACTTGGAATAAGGGGAGAGCCTTGTCACCGTGCTGCGGTTAGCAGGGGATCTCTGGAGAGGGCAAGGCTTCCCTCCTCGGTGCAGGGTCTCCGCGGACCTGTGTCAGAGGACAGGGCAGTCGGAGGGGGAAACACAGCAGCCTCTTTCAGGAAGTCTTCCCCCATCCTCCCATCCACTCCACACTCCTTCCTGGGCAGGCGAGATCATCCGAGTTAAGACAGGGAGCCATGATCTCAAGGAGCCAGGCGAGAAAGGCTGATGGAGCCCTCTGCCCCGGTCCCGGGGAGGCAGACAGCCTCCCATCCCAATCGGGGCTGTGTAAGCACACTCATTCGTCCCGGACAGTCCTGATGCGCAATCAGGAGCACTTCTTACAGGCCAGACACCTGACCCTAGATCTTCTCATTTCATCCCCTCATCACCTCTGAAAAAGCCATGCTTATTCCTGTTTACAGATAAAGAAACCAAAATTAGCTGGGGCACCGCCCTGCCCCACCCTTCCCCTGTGTGACCTTGAGCTAAATCCTTACCCCCTGCCCCCGGGTGGGTCTCACCGGCCTCACCTGTAAGATGGATGCGTACTCTCATTTCCCCCTTGGTGACTGCTCTGCATACAGCTAGTCAAAGGCATGCCTGCCTCTGCCCGGGAGAGCCCAGGGTTCCAGTGCCACCACACTACGTGTACGCACTGTGTGGCCGTGCTGCTTGGCCACCCACTTTCCCCGCTCCTTCCAGGGCTTCCAGCTGCAGATGCAACAAATGAACATACTCCTATGGATCCCCTGCCTCCACGTTAGTGCCCAAACTCCTCCCCGCCCCCATCCAGGGTCACCGGCAAAGAAACCATCACATTTGCATAAGGGTGAACTTGCCCCAAGTGGGAGTCAGCATTGGAGAAGTGGCCTGGGGCAGCCCTGGGCCACCCTGTCAACTCAAAGAAAGAGTAGGTGAAGAGTGACACGGGGCCAAGAGTGACACTGGGCTTTCTTTCTCCTTCTCTGGCCCTCCAGGAGGCTCTCTCGGTGGTGAGTGACGACCAGTCCCTCTTCGACTCCGCGTACGGCGCGGCCCATCTCCCCAAGGCCGACATGACCGCCTCAGGGAGTCCTGACTATGGCCAGCCCCACAAAATCAACCCCCTCCCACCACAGCAGGAGTGGATTAATCATCCGGTGAGGGTCAATGTCAAGCGGGAGTATGACCACATGAATGGATCCAGGTAAGCCCGCCAGGCCTGCGCGGCTCCGAGGCTGGGCAACGCCGCTGCCAGGTGTGGGGCTGGGGAGGCTGGAGGCATGCTTGCTGCCAGGTGTCTGAGTTGGCAGGTCTGACCTAAGTGGCTTCTGGCACGTAGGGTTTCTGCAGCAGGTGAGGCTCTGGTGCTGAGCCAGGAGCCTGAGCCAGTTCCTAGAAAGCTGAGAGAGAGACGCAGAGACAGAGAGCAACAGAGGTGAGGGCTGTGGGCATAGCAGGGTCAGCAAGCGCCCCCTGGATCTCTGGGTTAGGCTCCTAACTTCCTCTGCAGACACCTAGGGAAGACTTATTTTGTGTCAAGTCCAAGTACAGCCTCTCTTGGGGATAACTTAGCAACAAGATACACTTCCCTGTTCTTGTTGAAGATACTTGACCTCTCTGAGTGGGTCTCACCAGAGCAAAGCTGACCAAACCGTTCTTGCAATAAAAGTCCAGAGCTGACAACTGAGGTGGGCGTGTGGAAGGGCTCGCTGTGTGCGGGAGGACACGGCGCACTTAGAAAGTGTGCTTGAAGTTGGTGGTGCAAGAGCAGGTAACACTGTGCTTGTAGAAGTCAGGGGAGAGTCCAAGGAGAGAAAGGTCACAGGGCCGAGGAAGAGCAGGTAGAAAGGTGGACAGGTAGTCCCGGGGCCAATCCCAGCTCTGCCTGTGGGCAAGCACCAGCTTCCTCCTTTCTAAAGTAGTGCTGGAGGGTCTTCCTCTTCCCAGGCTGGTTCCAAGGGTGACCTCTGACGCTGCAGGGGAAGGACCCAGAACAGCGCTGAGGACTCAGAGTGCTGGATGGTGATAGGGATCATCACAAGCAAAGGTCTGAGTGAGAGGGAACCTTGGTCTTATTCCTGAAGCACCAGGTAATCCAAACGGTCCGTAACACAGGGAGATAAACGTGAGCATGAGAGAGGGCCCCGAGTGGCAGGCTAAGAAATTGTGGAACTCGTTTCCCCTTGCAAAGACTGACTTTTAGTATAGCCCTGACGTTTAATACCAGCAGAGCTCCGATTTCAGATGAGTGAGCTGACAATCATTGTATACAGAGGGGAGAGAGCGGAGAGTCAGAAAGAGAAGGTAACGAGTTAGTGACCTATCTCGGACAAGACGTTACAACGTTCCGAATGAGGATAGTGGTGCTGATTCCGGAAATCAAGAGGGTAGAGATATGAGGGGTGTGCCACGGGGATAATTACCAGGGTTAGGCCACCAGGTGTGTGAGGGGAAGAATCAAAGGTGACCGACGCCCAGAGGTTGCCAGGAAGGCCGGTGCCGTTAGCAGTCACAGGAGCAGGGAGAGGAGACGCTTTGAGGAGAGATGTCGGTGTTCCCTGTGAGATTTTGTGAGCAAACAGTAGAACGTCCAGGTAAAATTGTCTGCTAGGCTTTGGAAACTAAAGGTCAGATAATATTGTGGGGCTGGAATTTAGGTTTAGGCCTCCTCTTTAACGGGTGTGAACTGTGAAGTGGATGAGGGCCCCCAGGAAATAAGGCAAGAGAGAGAGAAGGGAGTGCGCACGCAGCCGGGAGGGAGCCCCTTTCCTGACACCCCCCCCTCCGCCTCCCACCTGCCTGTCGGAGCACCCAGGCCCACCGCATCCCAACCCTACTAACCAAAACCAGACCCTGGGGTCCCAGCCCCCGTCCTGAGTCTAGGATTTCAGGAAGGCTCAGAAGTTCAGAGCCGGAAGCCCTCAAATGAGTGTCTCTCCACATAGAGAATAAGGATATTGGGTCCCCCACATTGCAGGTAGGGTACAGTGTGTCAAACATTTTTCCATATTATCTTTTCATTTGCTTCCCACCACTCTCCTATGAGGAAGATACTAGAATTACATACTGACGTATAAAGACGAATTGGGCTTTGACGGGGTAAGTGACTTGTCCAAGGATTTAGAGGAGCCAGAGCTGGCTGCCGAGCCCAGGCCTCGCGTCCTGACTCCTGGCTGGTGGGCCACCTCCCTGCCCCTCCCCCTCTACTGTGGATTCTGCTTTGTGGTCACCTTCTCAGTTCTGCCAACACACACCTTGGCAGCAAGGAGGGCTCCTCAACAAACGTCCCAACCCGCCTGGCCTCCGTGCCTCTCGATGTTTGGGGGCAATCCAGATTCCACCCCTGGAGAATCTTCGGTCTGTTGGATCCTGAATCCAACCGCTGCTCACGCGCACCGCCCACGGCCAGCGGAGCCAGCCGCACCTCTCCGTCCAGACTCCCCCAGCGGCACCCTGTTCTCCCCACGTCCTCTTGCCTTCCTGAAGTCTGCTCTTCAGACCGCAGCTGGAGACAGGCTTGGAAAATATTTAACGGTCTTGCTCAAAATTCTTTGCTGGCTATGACAAAAGCCCAAGTCTCCCCGCCACCCCTGGGACACCCTCTTCTCCACCCTGTTCCCCATTTCACTCCTTCCCTCCACACTCTTGCCTCCTAGTCTCTTTCCTGGTGTTCCTTCTTTCTGGAACATTCCTACTTCATCTTGTCCTAGGACTCTCTTCCTCACTTTTTTCAGGTCTCTGCCTGAATGTCACCTTCTCAGAGGCCTTCCCTGACCGCCTGATCTAAAACAGCACCTGTCACTTTAGCCTGCCTCGATTCTTTCTAGCTCCTCCTGGCTCATATCACACACTCCTCGTTAAATGTGGGTAGGGCTTTTTGCTTTTAGTTTTATGTTTTAACTGAGCACATGATAGGTGCTCAATAAGTAGTTGTTAAATGAATAAGTGAGTGAATGTGTGTCTAACCACAAGTGAAGGCTCATAAACAAAGATGCTTGTTCCAAGCCGCACAAGGCATTGGCATAGAAGCCAACAGGACAGAGACCGAGGTCAGCCTTGGTCTCTGCCTCAAACAGGGCCTGCGTGTGTGCTCAGCCAGGCTGCAGAGTGGACCCAACTACTCAAGGAAGCCTCAAGTGCTCTGAGATACTAATCCTGGGCAAAGGGGGTCCCCAGGGAAATCAGTTTTCTGAACCCACCTGCCAGCTCATTCCTGGCTCCAGTCACACCAGGAGCCAGCTGCAGGAGAGCTCTCTGAACACCCCAGAGAGAAGATACCTAGCTCCGGTTGCACAAAGCAGCCCTTGATTTTGATATGCCTGTCTTGATCCAGACCATCAGCAGGTGACAAAGGGAGCTCAGAAAGACGGATGTATTCTCATCCCCCTCTGGAGAAACAAAGAAGACACAGTGGGCCTTCAGAGCCGGCCCGGTTAGGCACAGCCATCCCCAGCACCTCATAAATATCCTCTAAGTGCGCGCATTTAAGCTGGACAGGTGGGCAGCAGGAAGCAAGGGTTTTCAGAAAAATGTCTTTGCTTAGGATGGAACCATGTCGGATCCTCTTATTTGATGATGTGAAAAGAAATAACATGATCAAATAGATGCCAGGCTATTGAAATCTCTCATCCTCAACGCAGCAGCTTCTCCTATCCCCTCAGTATTATTGATAATGGCGCTTTTAATGTAAAATATCATTTCTCACTTCAGATGAGAAAACCAAAGCAGAGGATACAATTTGGGAACTCTCGGCTGTGGGCTTCATTTGGGCTGTCCCTGCAGCAGCCACTAGCCAGGTGGTGCTTTTGAGCCCTTGAAATGCAGCTAAATTCAAAAGGATATGTGCTCTACTTGTACAATACACACTGCATTTAGCAGACTTAATATGGGAGAAATAGTAAAATAGTTCATTAATTATTTTTATATGGATTATGCTGAGATACTCTTTCAGCTGTATTGAGTTAGTATATTTTAATACATTATCAAAATTTATTTCACCTATTTTAAAAACATTTAAACATGTGGATACTAGAAAATACAAAACTTTAGGTGTGGCTCACATTCTACTTCAAGTGGAAGGTGCTGGACCAGGGTATGTTGATGGTAGTAGTGTGGGTGTCTGGACTACTTCTTCGGAGTTACTGAGCCCCTATAGATACTTCTGTCTTTGGAGGACGTATTCTGCTGCCTAAAGCTACAGTGCCCTTCTTCCTTCTTATCCAAGTAGCAAGTCCTTTGAACAAAGGTCCAGTGGAGAGACTGAGCTCTGCAGAGCCAGAGAAAGTCTAGCTTGCCCACGCTGTGCAAGGTTTGCTCCCTTTTCCATCGCTTCCTGTTGTGGTTGAGTCTGTTAGAGCGAGTTGTTCGTGAAACAGCATGGCCCATAGGTTCTGTGTTGGATGTAGACTTCAGGAACTTGATGCAAGCTGTGGTCTGCAAATAACTCAGCTGCATCCTGTCTCAACCCGGGGCTTGGAGAAAACATCCCTGAAGGAAAGAATATCAGTTTATGGAGAGAAAACACAGGGACTTGCTTTCCTTGTGTGCTGGGCGCGCAGGACCTGAGTCCAGTGTCACTCTGCCTCAGTGCTCCCTAGACTGCCCGCCAGGATCTGGGTGCCCTTATTAGACACCTAGACACTCCCCATCTCGTTTGCCAGGAAGATCGGCCTCATGCATCCTGCCTTTCTGAGGGGGTGTGTGAGGGCTGCCCAAGGCTCTGAACCTTGCAGTAGGAAGCGCGCCCCACATAACCTGGTGCCACCTGCAGGATCCCGGAGAAGCTATGAGTATCTACTCTGTACAGAGATTGAAATAGCTATTGGGTCAAGTGATGGCTTTATTGTGGGTGATTTCCTTTCTTTTTGCTTGAAATTTGCTTTCATCGTATTTCACCTTCTTTTCAAAACAACAAAAAAGAAATCATATGCATATATCTGTGCATGGATCCTACAGAAATCCCAAGTGCTAATTATTGTACAACGTACATACATTACATGGAAGACACACAGGACAGGTCCTAATGCAACCGTGTGGCTTGGGTACAGCCCCAAAACTCCACATGACCTGTGGGGGGTGGGCATCCATTGACGGGAAGCCTGGGCTGTAGATTTGTGGATCTGGGTGACATATCCTGGGTGAAGTTGCCCGGAGTTCAACAGGAAGATAAAGAAAATGTTTAGTCAGAAGGAATATTCCTTGGGAGCAGTCTTTGAAATCTCCTCTTCAAATACTAAAGATTTCTCACCTTGTTTTAAATGGCTGAACAGTTTGCAAGGCACTTTTGGAAATCGGTAGTAGCCTTTGTAAAGCAGTGTTCACTGAACACACAAAACGGGACCAGAGGAGTAGAGAGCTTACGTCCAGGGGTGAAATGAAGGACCGGGCTACAGGGTTCACAGCACCCTGGCCGTGGCCTTCCGGGCCGTGGCTTTCTGAGCTGTGGCTGAGATGGACATGCCCTGAGTTAGCCTCTCAGAGCCACCACCTCCTCCTCTCTGCTCTATTGTGGCAGCCCCAGACCCTCTTGTCACCTGTCCCAGTGCTATCAGCTGCCTGTGGGCCCCAACTCCATGCTCTCTGTAAGTGCAGGTCTCAATACAAATTAGCGGTGGGGTAGCCGCGCTGAATGGCCAAACCTCTCCCCCTCCATCTGCGTCCCCCTCCCTTCCCTCTTGTTTTCATATGGCTCTTCACAGGCGCCAGCTGCCTTGTTAGAGAGCAGCCTTTATGTTGGGCTTCACCTGGACCGCCCCCACCTCTTAGCAGCAGCGGTAGAGCCCAGTGGCTGCACACGAGGCAGGTGCTGTCTGGAAGAGGCAGAGTGGCCGAGAGCTTGGGAGTGCAGGGGCATGGGGCAGGCCCGCGGTGAAGGTACAGCGCCCCTTCCTTCTCTCCCTGAGCAGTCAGAGAAGGGCAGGCCTGAGCAAATGCTCTGGGCCAGGGTGGGGGCCAGGCTGCTCCCAGAGGCCCCCCCTGTGCAGAGCCTCGCTGAGGGGTCTGGGACTGAGGACCCGGCCCATTCCAGAGGAGGAGCTCCCCAGAGATCGCCTTGCCCAGCTGGGGAGCAGGTGCGTACACAGGGGCTGAAGGAAGGAAAGAGGGGGAAACAGAAATATGAGAAACATAGAGGGTCTCTATGAGATGGGAAGCGAGGAGGTTCCAACCACCGTACGGCTCCCAGTCGTCACCCCAGCAAGAGAGCCCCGGCCTGACCGTGGTTCTGTCACTGTCCTCCGGGACCTGGCTCTCCTGCCCCCTCGGCACCCACCTCCCCAGGACGTGTCTATCTCACCGTGGTGCTCACTGCTCCTCTTCTTACCAGGTGACATGCCCGGCAGCTTTTACCACGTGCTTCCCTTTTCTCAAATTTATTTTTCTCTGCTCCTGGCACCAGAGACTGGTTCTGCCATGGGTGCTGAAAGGGTTACTGCATGTCAGTGACTTCTGAGGTTCTGACTTCTCACCTCTGCATGGCAAGGGGTCAGTTTTGGGCTCGGAAATCCCCAGAGGCCTGGCTGATGTGGAAAGGAATTTTTTGAAACATCTCCCCAGTGTTCCCAAAGGGGAGGGCAGGCCGCAGAGGAGCACCTCTTCTGTCACGCCGGCCCTGGACGGACAGTGCTCTGCTGGCTGAAGGTCTCTCTCCCCAGCCCACGGCCCTTGTGCCCCGGCTTCCTCCAGGGGAAGTGCTTGCTCTGGCAACCCCACCCTCTGCCCCAGAGTTCCCAGCCAATGAAAACGTTGCTCTCTTGGTTGAAGGCCAACTTAATCCTCCTACTTCTGCTGCACTTTAGTTGCTTCCCAATGGACAAGTATGCTGAGAAAGGCTGCCAGACCCTGGTGGCTCTGTGTGTGCATGCATGTGTGTGCATGTGCATGCATGTCTGCATTGGGGGCACACATGTGCACGGGGCAGGCAGGCATGTGCAAGTATGCATATGTACACATGTGTATATTGGGATGTGTATGTGTGCGTGCATATGTGCAGGATGTGTGTGTGTGTCAGACTGTGCACATGTGTGCATGCTTGTGTATGCACGGGTTCATGTGTGCACATGGGGGGTGTTGGTGTGTGCATGTGGACATGTGCACGTACACCCGCTTGTGGTTGGCCGTGGGGGTGGGGATCCCAGTGAGCTAGGCCACAGCCCAGCTCAGACCCAGGACCAGGGTCTTTCAGGGATGGCTTCATCTCAGGCCAAGTCCTTCAACAGCAGATGCCAAAGGCCAAACCCTGGTGAAAAGTCCTGATGAGCTACTGCCTCCCTCACACTGCCACGGGGACATTAAACCTTCAACGATCTGGGGCTCTGACGGCTGGTTCTTGGTTCTCTGCCTGGAAAAACAGTAGGCGAATAGTAAAACCTTAAACTCTAACATGTGTAAGTTATACATCTTATTTTCATTTTCAGCCCATGTTCTCCTCTGTAAGACATCAGGAAAAAATTACCGTCTGACTTCTAATATCTCAGTGGAGCATTTATCTCCCAGCTATGATAAGTGATCTTCAATATTTTTTTCCTTTCAGATTAAGAAACAAATTCATTTAATTTTCTTTATTGAATGTGCTCAGGCCTCCCCTGCCCTGCCGAGCCGCCCCACCCCCGCAGGGCTGTTCCTCCCTTCTTCTGCCGTAGTGGCTGCTCGCCCCGCCTGTGCAGCTACTGCCACCGCGGTGCGAGATGAGCGGGACCCCATCGGGAATGACCCTGCAGCTCGAGACCGCATGATGGTCTGTCCTGACCACAGCCGGGTGGGGAAGGCATTCGCCAGGCCTGTGGAAAGCCCGGGGAGGCTGCGCGCTCCAGGGCTGGACAGCTGTAATCGGAACCTTATCTGAACTCCTCGGTCTGAGGCCGGGTTGGGAGAGCTCTGGCTGCTGTCTCCCAGGTGGCCAGGACCGACGCTCCCTGCTCCGCAGACCCTCAGCTGCCGCCTCTCCTCGGCCTTCCGGTCGCCTCCTTTGGTCCTGGCTGAGTGGAGGCGAGGGAGAGGCAGGGCAGGATGGCACGTCCCCTGGGTGCGCAGAGAGGCGCTGGGGGTATGTGGCATGTCCTGCGGCTCCGGGCACCAGGCGTCAGCTCAGCACTCCAGACGGCTGCCCGTTGCTGAGCTGAAGCCCGTAGGCAGCCTCTCTGTGACCTATTGCAAAATCCCAGGTGCTAATTGGGCTACACATGTACTTCAAAGCCAGACTGGGTGATTTCACTCTGTCCCCTGTGCACCTGTGAGCTTGGTGGCTGGGGCTGCAAAAGGCTACAGGGGCCACACCCTCTCTATGAGGTTGAAGTTCTTGGATTCTATTGCTCCTTCATGCGGAAACCAGCTCTTCCACAGGCGCGTTTTGATAAGGAAGCTTAACACTAAAGACCTGAGTCCTGCTTTCCCTCTGCTACCCATGCGGCCCTGGCCCAGGGACCTCACCTCTCAGTTTCCTTAACCATAAAAAAGGGGCTATTAACCCCAGCTATGCTTATCTCGGAGGGTAACTGGGAAGTTCAAACAGAACAGCGTATAAAAAGTGCATTGAAATCATATTCACGCACAGAAATAATTCTCTCAGAGAACAGCTGTCACTCACCTCCTAATCAAGGCTCTCTACAGAACGGCTGTAATCTCCATCAAGGTTGCAGAAAAAGAATGTCCCCACCTCAGGAAACTCCCTCGTCCATCAAGGAGATGGAGCACCTGCCAAGCTAACAGTCCCCCCAGCATGACTGTCCCAGAACCAGCACAGAAACACTATGGGGGCGGGGCGGGGGGCTGGTGCACAGGCCCAGAGTGTGTAGGCTGACTGGCAATAAGGTGAAAAGTGTCCATGGCAGATGGGTGGGAGCTGCAATCCCGTCCTGAGAAGTCCAGACTCTAGTCTGGGGGCAGTAGGAGCTGCCTGGAGGTTTTAAGTACCATAATTATAGGATCAGGCTGGGATTTGAAGACAACTCTGGCGGCAGTGTGGAGAATAGAAATAAGACGGCATCCTCCTCCTCCTCCTCCTCCCCCCCCCTCCCCCTCCCCCTCCTCCTCTTTTCACCTGGTGGGGCTGGGACATGGCTGCCGCTGTGAGTGATAGGCTGGGGTAAACTCCCCTGCAGCGCTGACACAATGGCAGTGACAACTTCCCGGGCTTTGTCTCCTCTCCATCCAGGGAGTCTCCGGTGGACTGCAGTGTTAGCAAATGCAGCAAGCTGGTCGGTGGGGGCGAGTCCAACGCCATGAACTACAACAGCTACATAGACGAGAAGAACGGCCCCCCTCCTCCCAACATGACCACCAACGAGAGGAGGGTCATCGTCCCCGCAGGTACCTTGGGACCCCGGCCGCTGGCTGGCCTGCGTGCCCTCGCCCTTCTGGGCGAGTAGTCAAAGGGCGGGTCTGTCCTGGTGGCATCTGAACATTGGCCTGGTCCCCTGCTCTCTGTGGAAATGCTGACTTGGGAAAGGTACACTTCTCGCCTTTCTCCCTAGCTGCCGTCCAAGACGTTTTCCCAAATGTCACCAGAACCCTGACGTGCAGATTCCAGAAGTCCGCCCTCAGACGGGTCATGTCACAGACTCTCAGTCCGTGCCTGGTCCCATGGGGCGAGTGCTGCAAAGAGAGTGGAGGCAAGGCCGCCTGAACCCAGCCGGAGCCTGGGGAGCCCTCTGTGTCCCCTCCTCGCCTTTCGGGAGTAGGGTGGCTACCAAGGCCTGTCATGCCTCTCAGGCATGTGCCTCCTGGCATCAGCAGGGTTCCACCTTTCCAAAATTATACCCAGTTCTTTCAGTTTCAAAACAGAAATAACTATATTTAACAAATGGAGCTCCTTAACATGTGTGCAGCAAGTTATATCATTATGTAAAAATAGCCTATTTTTCCTAAGTATTGGTGCTGTTGGTTACAGAGAATAAAATCATTGTTCAAGCCTCAGGGTATTGGCTGGACACTCGGCCTCAGCCAGACCAGCAAGCTCGGCCGTCTGGTCCAAAAGGGAGTTGAAAACTGAAACGTGTAGGGTTGGTGCCAGGTGGAAGGAGCTAGAATGTCCAAACCTTAAGCAAAGTGAATTACAGGGCAGAGATTAAAACTCATTTTACCAAAATAACTTTACCAAAAAGGCAAAGCCCCTTCCATTTGGAAAAGTATAAGTGCAGTTGTGTCTGAGGTAATTCAGAGATATTTGCTGCTTGGTCTAGAAGGTGTGGCTTTGTGTGGGCCTCTCCTCCCTGGCCCTTTGTACTTGTTTTTTGTGGGAGGCTGTGTCTCACCATCTCCTGGGACTACAGCTACTCCCGTGTATGTGTTCTGGGCCAAGTTCAAGGTGGCAGGGGTGGGAGGTGTGGGGACCAGTGAGGCAGGAGAGGGGTGGGCTAATGGGAATGTTTCTGCACCTATAAGACTTCAAAACGGTTCATGAAGCATTTTTAGTTTCCTTCTTCCACGAGCGTGTGAGCTCACTAAGGCAGAGAAAGAATAGCTCCCATTCATTGATCACCTTCCAGGTGCCAGGCGCTGTGCAAACTGCTCTATCCACATTACATGACCTGCACCGCTTAATGCTGAACCTCCTCCAGGACCCCAGCTAGGAATGTTTAGCTCAGGTGCATTTTTAAGGTCCAAGAGAATTGTGTCTTCTCCCTCCATGTCAAAAGAAGGCAGACAGTGAAATTGCACCAAAGTGGACAGCATGGTACAATTTGGGGAGTGTGGACTGTCCATACTCCCCAAAGCCAGGCCAAGCCTCACGAGGCTGTTGGCCACGTGGTATTGAACTCCCCGGCCTTGCCAAACAGTGGCCAGCATGGGAAAGAGATCTCGAGAACTGAAAGGTTAGGAGATCAGAGGTTGTCTTTTTCTTTTTTTTATCCTCACCCAAGGATACATTTATTGCTTTCAGAGAGAGAGAGGGGGGGAGAGAAACACATTGATACTAGAGAGAAACATCAATCAGTTGCCCCCTATATATTCCCTGACTGGTGCAAGCTTTTGGTTTACAGGACGATGCTCCAACTAGCTAAGCCACCCAGCCAGTGCCAGAGATAGTCTTACCCCAACGCTTATACCTTCTCACTTCTGTAGACACTTTTGGGAGGGGATAGGAAGAGGGGGCAAAGATGGCCAGATTGCTTGGTCAGCCATTCAACTCTAAATCAGTGTTGAAATATTTTCGGAAAGAGTATCAAAAGGTCTGTCCTCAGTGGGCCAAGGTAACTATAGCAGTGATAATGAAAGTACTGTAAATTCATACCAAGGGGTTTTTAAAGCACTTCGTATCATGAATTCACTAGCTATGGATTTACTCCCCTATCTTACTTGTGGCTCAGTCCTTAGGCATTATCCTCAGATATTTTGGCTCCCTCCAGGTCAGCCTCCTGCATGTGAGGGGAGGTGTCCTCTGGGCAAGTCCCCAGACCAAGGCAGCGAGACATTGGCAGAAGGGCCGATCAAATTTATGGGGGGATTTTAAGACAAATGCATATGGGGACCCCAGCTAATCATCAGGTCCAAGTTCATATAGGAAGACACTGGGACTAAATCATCCAGAAAATACATTTGGAAGAATTTAGCATGATCCAGAGTAAAAGATTTATATAATTCATTGTTCTGTAAAGGGACGGAAATAATATTGTGATTGAGCTCAAAGCAAGAGAGGAACTAATAAAATAAATGCATGGTATAAAATGGAATCTAAAGCATTGGATATTAAACATGAGCAATTAGAACAAGCAAAGGCGATCAGATGAAATAATATGCTGCATAACGCAACCCCCCAGCCTTCTCCATTTTTCTTTGGAATTCTGAAATGGTGCAAAATTATTTCTGGTTACCAATGGTCCATGCCTCATTGTTTGACTTATCCAACAGAGGTATGAGAAGAGCTCTGTTTTTTGCTTAGTAGCACAGAAACTCACAGGTTAGTTCAGGGAGGACTGTGAGAAGGAAAGAGAAGAGGCTTCGGGTCGGGAGGACCTACCCCTCTCGACTAAGCCCTGGGAAGACTTGGATTGGAACCCTGGCTCAGTCTGGGACTTAGGGCTCAGTTAGAGACCTAAGCCTTCAGGACTCCACTTTCCCTCTGTAAAATGAAAATACAAGCCACTTTGTAGGATTTTCTTGATAAGTGAAAAATAGGAGCACCTGGCACATAGTAGGCACCCCAAGTCTGGGGTTGCCGGGTACTGGGTCGCGCTGACAGCCAGCATCAGCCTGTGACCTGTAACCCCAGACTTTCCTCTCTTCACTCTCCCCTTTCACCAGCCTCTCTGCTCCACACATGGGGCACTGCCGGGCACTTTGCAAAGTAGACACAGCCATCCACCCCCCTAATTCTCACATGTAATAACCAAGGAGACACAGAAAGCCCCTACCAGACAAGGGCAACCAGCGGAAGCTCTGAGTAAAAGCACAGGAGGGTTGCCTCTGGCAGGCAAGCCACAGGGTGTGAGAGAAAAAACAAAACCTTGCTTTTTCCCCTTGGCCACCCCTCATCATTCAAATCAGGCTTCCATTTTTTGCCCAGAGCCTTCACAGAGTCTTAGCAGGAGGGGGTGACATGGTTGAAGGGTGGCACAGCTATTCTTACCAAATAAATCTGCTCATAAAAGAGGCCGAGCAGAAGCTGGGGCTGACAGCTGACATACAATGCCCCGTCTCCTCTCCTCTCCTCCTCCAGGAAGCCTTCCATGACTCACCACATTTACACTATTCTCCTCCACTTCTGATTGCTTCAACTACCGCTACAAAATCTGTTGCTTCATTATGTACTTTACCACCTGAATGCTTTGTGTGGATGGATCTTTCATGAGGCCGAGAGCCATGTTGTTTTATTCTATGATGAGCATATTTGAAGCGTTTATTGGATTCCCTAATAATTGGTTGTTAAGAGGTGGCTTCCAGACTGTGCTAAGTGATGAACTATCAGGGCCTCTACCCCCCATGGAACCTGCTGGATTCCTTGCTAGCACCCAAGGTGCATGCGTCCCCCTCACACGCACACACCTGGCTGAGACGGAGTTGTGAGGGTCAAAGAGGAGGTGGTCTCCTTCCTTATTATTGATGCTCACTCAAGGGCTAAAGGTTTTCTCTCTGACGCCATTTCTCATCCTTGGGGCCTTACGTATCCTAAAATCGTTCTGGGGATGATCTGGTAGACATTTCAACACAGCTGTGTCCAAGAGGAGAAAACGCAGGCTGGATTCACGTTAAGGACTAACACCCGTGGGTTTTCCATCCGCGCAGATGGACTTGCAGGAAAAGTGTGCACAGATGTGTTCTCTCTGTTGCCATCTGAGGATCGTGTTCTTCCATGAAATCATCAGTGCTCTCAAGATACAGATGGTTTCCCTTTCCAGAGACACTGGTCCCTGGATCTGTGGAACTGTGTTTATTTTCATTTTGATGCCACCATTTCTCAGGCAAAGGTTTCAATTGACTTCCCCAAGCTTTAAAGAGTGTGCTGTCAGGATGTGTAGCGAGGCATCTGAGAGCCTCGCCAGAGTGCTAAGTGGTTCAGGCAGCTCCAGATGCCAGGGAGCCAGATGGGAGAGCTGGGAGGACCATCTGGGAGGGAACCCGTTTTCCCAGTGAGGGTGGTGGGAGAGGGAGAGAGGAGGAAGAGGGAAGTGGGGGGAAGGAGGGAAGAAAAGGGGAGAGAAAAGAGTGGGGAGAAAGAGAGAGGAGGCTGGGGAGGAGGGAGGAGACAGAGGCAGAGAAAGGCTACCCGGCCTTCGTGAAGCAGAGGGAGCTCCCCGCCCCCCAACTCCCCACTCTGGCAGCCCTTACTGACAGACCTTCTCCCCTGCAGACCCCACGCTGTGGACGCAGGAGCACGTGCGGCAGTGGCTGGAATGGGCGATAAAGGAGTATGGCTTGATGGAGATCGACACAGCCTTTTTCCAGAACATGGACGGCAAGGAACTGTGTAAAATGAACAAGGAGGACTTCCTCCGAGCCACCTCCCTCTACAACACCGAAGTGCTGTTATCACACCTCAGTTACCTCAGGGAAAGTAAGTGCCCTGTCTATTTCTGGACTGTGGAACATCCCCGGAGGGTATAGCCCATGTCTCCAGGGCTGGGAGAAAGCCTTGCCGGGCTGCTCCCAGCAAAGACCAGCTTCCCACGGAGCCCATGCAGGAAAGGAAGTTGGGTCTCCTGCCTCAGTGTATGTTGGGCAGATGCTGCAGGAGCTGTGGGTTTGGGCCTGTCACGTGACCAAGGTCACGTGGGCTCCTAATGACCCTGCAGGAGGGACGGCCCAGTCCCATAGTGTCGAAGGGAATAAAATGAATGGAAAAACGGTATGGAGCTGTGGTCCAGAGGGGTCTGCCAGAGGCTGCCCACACTCTTCCTATGAGCACCCTTTCCCAGAAACTACTTAGCCCCGTAATTATAAATACGTGGATGCCCTGGCTGGTATTTTCCCAAGCAATAGTTTAGGGTTCCTACAGCAGCTCTAGATTCATGGACTTGAAATTCACATTCAAGGATTCAAGGATTTGAAATTACACGTTCAGTTCCTCTTATCCTAGGAGTCACTCTGGCACCTCCTAACCCCACCTTTATGGCCGCCACCTACACCCCCTTCTTAGCTAAACAGGGAAAGTAGCAGACACTGAAGGTCTGTTGGGATCTGTCCAAAGCTTCCCCTGACACCATCAGAAGGAAAAGAGCTTTGGAACGGGAGAGTTTACAAAAGAAAGTGTGCAGTTGTCCGAAGGATTTCTCCTCTCTGGGTGTTCCGTAGCACCAGCAATTTGATATAAATGCCATTTGATGTGAAACATACCCAGAGACAAAGACAGAATTCTCTGAGGCCCACTAACAACCTTGGCGTTAGCTCTTCGTCAGAAATCCAGGCCGGGTGGTCTACCGGTGATCCCACATGTTAAAGGATTTTTCTGTGGCCAGGAAAGACGGTACTGAGTTTGGGGAGTTGAAGCTACAGGTAAAACAGATGCAGACTCATCCTACAAGGGAGCTTTCTAATGGTCAGTCCTGCCCAAAGACAGATTGGCAGCCTCAGGATACGCAGTATTTGCTGTTAACAGCCAACACTGCCAGGACTCTTGAAGGCATTAAGCTTCGACGGAAGGAGTCTGATGACTCTAAAGTCCCTTCAAAGCCGAGATCCTTGAACAGTGCCTATGGGCTGCTTTTTGGGTCTCCTGGGCTCTGGGTTAGTTCGCTCTTCATTTGCTCTCTATTATTCAGTGGATCTTCAACTCGCCATCCCTGTAATTGTCTGTCTTGTTCTCTAACAGTGTACTGCGTGGCATGGGGACAATACACACTGGCTTTAAAAATGAAAAATTTTAAAAATGCCTTCAGAAGTTTCCACCACTGCCTTCGGGCTCCTCAGTCACCTCTGCGGGGTGTCTGGCATCCGGTGGGGGAGTGTGGATGATGCCGTATATGTTAACACCAGAGCCATGACCTCATGTCTGAGTCTTGCTGCCACATGAGGTCAGCCCAAGAAACAACCATTTCAAAAAAAGGGGGTGAAGTTCCACCCAGGGTTTTTTCTGCGCTTTGGAGAATTAGCATTTTCTAACAATCTGTATTTTTCAGCTTTTAAGTGTTTATAGGATTTTTTTTTTAATTAAGACCCCCATGCAGAATCCTGCAATGGTGCACGCTAGGCAGGGCAGGGGTGGACGTGGGCATGAGGAGAGACCAGCAAAGCAAAAGCCCTGACCGAGCCTGCCTTTCTGCTTCCCCTGGATCAGATGGGAGGAGGCCCAGGAACCGCTGGCCCCTTTTCCTCCTTTGTGCGAGAAGAGACGGACAGCAGAAGGAGGGGTCCCATGACAGAGGCCCTTGGTGGGGAAATGTTCAAGTTCACTTGGACTTGATGTGGGGAAAGCCCATTCACACCGTGGGGTCCCTGGGTCTTGCTTTCTGGCAGGTCCATAAAAAATTAGAGTCCCTACCAGACCCTAAAGTAAGACCACGAATTTGGTGAGCGGGTCATCGGTAACCACCAAGGAGGCTCTCAGTTGAAGGCGAGCAAAGGAGAGAGCAGGCAATGAAGGGGCGCCAGAAGAGCGTGCTGTTCTGGGGTATAGGTAGCAGGGCAAGGAAAAGTGTGGCTGGCTTTTTTTCCTCTTCTTTGTTTTTAAGAATATTAAAGAAGATGCCCCAAAGTAATAAAAAGAAAATGAAGTTTCCAGAAAGGAGATTATTAGTGGAACAAATTCCCAGAGTTGAGAGAGGATGGAACAACATGCATATACAATACAACGTGGAGTGAAACAGCTAAATACAAAGTGGTCTGTGCGTTGATATAAAAACCACATCTGCCTACAAAAGCAAAAGTTGAAATGCCTTTATCAACGTTCATAAAAACTCGCTCCGGCCTAGTATTGTAACAGCCTAAAGGCCCTTTGAGGAACCTAGACTTAAAATGACCTGCTATCCTGGAAAACAATTTTGATTCATGCTTCTTTTTAATTGGTGTCTACCTTCGGGTTCCAGCCTCCGGGGCTGTGGCTTTGGGTGGTGGTTGGCCTGCGAAACCGCCGCAGGAGGTCACGTGCCCGGTGGCCGTCTGCTGCCGGGATTGCCAGGAACTCCCTAGTGTCCACCAGCCTGTCTTCAAACACTTTATTGTTTTTCCAGACTGACTTCCAGCGGATGTTTTGTGCTCAGGCAGGGAGGCCAGCGCTTTGGGGAAAGAGGCCGGGCAGCTGAGCTGGGGCAGGAGGAAGGGACGCTAATGCCTCGTGCTTTGTTACCTGTCCCATTGCTGAGGAGGGCACGGGGCGCAGACATTTCCACTTCGGCAGGAAGCGGAAGGAGAAGAGCTGAGCTCCTCCGCACGGCGGCGGAAGTGCTGCGCGCTGAGAGAGTCCACGGGGTCCGCTCGGCACTGAGCTGCCTGTCAGAAGGCTCCGAATTAGATGTGCGTCCCAGTGTCTGATCTTTCTGGACGTCAAGAGTGAAAAGGAAACCTTATAGGATAAGAAGCTCTGGCATCATACTTACACTTTCACAAAAGGTGCTTGAGTATTTATCCTGATTGTCTTGGAGGGAAGCTATATTCTACACGTTAAATAACACGTTTTAAATTAGTTTTCTAGGGTGGAGTATGAATAGCAATGTCCCAAGCCCCTCTATACCCTGTCCGGTAGCCTGGCCTGGTAGCATTTATGCGGCCTTCCTGTGTGGGCGGGGCGGTGCTGGTTCTTCAGACCTGGGCTTTTCAGCTGTTCCCAACAGAGAGGCTGTCCCCTATACCTTCCGCGTTACACGGCCCACGCTCAAAATGGGAGGGGCCGGTGTGGGCTGGAAGGATGCACAGAGTACTGAGGATCCTCCCGGAGCCTCCTGGGGACCCTAGGATTCAGGTGTGCATCTCACCAGGTGTCCTTCACTTTACATGGCCAGGACGCCCCCTTGTGGACATCACGGGGACTATCTACAATCCCCATTTTAAAGCTAAAGCAACTGAGGCCTGGAGTGCATCAGAAATTGGCTGAAAGGCAAACATGCAGCCGCAGAGCTGAGCCTGGTATCCGAAACCCGGGTCTCTGACGCCCCAGGCTGAAGCCACGCCCACAGGCACGCCCACAGCCCCACCTCTGGGCTGAGTGGACCGAGGGGAGCCGGAGCTAACCTGCGCCACACTTGTCTTCCCTCCTCTGCCTTAGAATTAGCCTCACTCCCCTGGGCCCTCCATGTTGAGAGCCAGACCACTTTGCCCACAGCATTTTCTGTTTTTATTTGTCCCAAGAGATAAATGCTTTCCGAAAACTTTCCTGTGGCCTCCTGGAATGAGGCAGATTAAGCCAAACCTATCACCACACTAACCCTGTCCTTCCCTCTTCCCCGCGGGGCCCCACTCTGGACCTGACTGGCGGCCCCTGAGTATCTCGCTCGGGCACAGCCCGTTTGGCAGGGCCCATATTTACAGTCGTGGGCTGCGGGAAGTGAGATTGGGCGGGATCGCAAAGGGAGTGAGGGCTGTCCCAGCTGGCAGTTCAAACTCAGGGCCACTGGGGGGAGTTTGGGGTTTCTGGGAGCGCGAAAGGTCCTGGGCGGGGCGGCCATAGGCAGAAGAATGAAAAAGGGTCTTTTTTCATCTTACAAAAAGTCAGGTTCTATATGTATAACTGAGTCTGGCCTGTGAAAACTGCTAAGAAACTGTGTTTTTAAATAGTGGCGGCACAAAGAGGATGAAATATGTTGTGTGACAGGGAGGCCACAGAGAAGGTATCTGTCTTGATTCTCATTTTTAATTTAAACTTAATGGAAAACACATTTTGCATCTTGTGGCGTTCCCACCCGCAGCCTCAGATGGTCGGGCAAAGGTGATGGGCCCGGGCCGTTAAGCCGGTGAAGTATTATCCCTTCCAGGCCTGGGGTTTGACCAGAAAGAGCGAGCAGGATCCCAGCAGAACAAAAGGCCAGGTCTCCCCGGACTCGGTAGTCAGCCAGCCTTACTTCCCTCCTCCCTCCACTCTCCCCGCCCAAGCCATTGACACAGTGCAGAAAAAAGGGAGACCCAGATTCAATGAGCTGGCTGGAGAATGCCCCGTGAGACAGGAGACAAAGGCGTCGGCACTGCGACCCCCCCGCCCCCCTCCGCCGTGTCTGTCCTGCTCCAGGTGTCTCGGGTGAAGAGCCCGTGAGGCGGGGGCATGCAGCGCCGAAGAAAGCCCGATTGTCAGGCCCTGGCCCACACCTGCAACGCTTCACTCCGCTCGCTTCCATCTTCTTTCAGTTCCCAAATACGACGTCTAGCGGCGGACAGGCTCCGCAACGGAGATGTGTTTTGTCCTTATGTTTTCACATTGGGACGGCCATTCTGTTCTCAACAGCTGCCACTTCATGCTCTTCAGGGCCCCAAATAGAACTACACATACGCCTGTATATATACACTAACACATAAACAAAGAAGCAAACAAATGTTTTCATCGAAGTGGAACACCCAGAGATGTGCAAAAGTCATAAAAGCGCAACTCGAGGAATCATCACGCAGTGAATCCACCCGCTCGTTTTCGTACCCCCAGTTCAAGGAATAGACTAGAAGCCCCCCTGTGCCCTCTCTCTGTCATCACCCCATCCTCCCCAAAGGTCACCGCTGGGCTGGCCTGCAGCGCCCTAGGTGAGAGTGTTGTCTGTTTCCCCGACTTAGCCTGCAGGCTGCAGGGCCTGCTGGACGGGAGTGCGACTCCTGCCTCCTGGGCTTCATGGCCGTGTGACCCTAGGCAAAGACTTGACTTCTCGGAAATGGGAAGACCGGTTTTACAGGGCTCATGTAAAGATACCTGAGAGGCAGACATAAAGCGTCTGCCACAGGGAGCCGTCCACGAGTGTTGTCTTCCTTCCTCCCCCTCTCGGCCTTTTGACTCTGAGGAGGCCAGAGTGGGAGCTCAGCGGCACATGAGCCTCACGCAGAAGGAGCCTGAAAGCAGGAGCAAGAAATCCAAAGCCAGAGACCGGGAGACCAGGTTCCAGGGAGGACTGCCTCACAGCCCAACACGTTCCCTTAAGCTCAGGGTGTGCCCTGCCACCCTCGGTAGCGTGAGGGACTTAACGAAGAGCAGAGGAGAGGAGGGAATGTCGGTCCCTCGGGAGGGAGGTCAGAAGCCCATAACCAGCCCCTCCCCGGGGAAGGCAGCCTCTCCTTCTAGGAGTGAAACTTGAACCAAGAACAGTCTTCAGGGCAAAATCCTTTTCCTAGGTTACCATGAAATATGTATTTCATGCAAGCTTTGCAGAGGTCAAACGACCCTTTCTCTTGGCTTTCTGGGAGTTTCCTGTGGAATTCACGTGTGCCCAGAGAAGAACTTTCACCACGGGGGAAATTTAATAAATGTGGTTTATCTAAGCTCCGTGCTCTTAGCTAAATCTGCACTAATGACTCAGGCAGTGCGCTCCTCTGAGACCATCATTTTTCTTTATTTGCTCCAGCCGTGAGGTTTTAGCCTGAGGGAGAGAATGTCGGGGACAGAGAGGCAGACATTCTTGGTCTTACTCCTGAGACTTTTTTCTATTCCCTTGGAACGTTTGGTTCCATTTCTTAACCTCCTTCCAGTCATGGAGGATTATTTCTCATTGCAGGAGAACCCATTCGTAACTCTAATTCCAGGGGACAAGACTAATGCTCAGCAAGCTCTCTTATAACGGGCTTATTGTATGTAATTGTGGGAGAAGGGATGTAAAAATAATAATGATAATAGCTAGCAGTTATTGAACACTTATTAGGAGCCCAGGTCTTTCTGAGCAATTTATAGGTACCATTTTGTGCTATCCTCTCAACGCCATGTTAGGTGTTATTATTAGTCCATTTTATATATATGAGGAGCCTATGGTTTAACGAGACTATGTAAATTGATGGATTTTACTTAATCCATCAATTTACCTAATTGCTACTTCGTAACAAGGCTATGAATGGTGAGTCTGATTTTAAATTCTGATTTGCATAACAACTATATTAAGATGAGTTTGTCCCAGCCTCACTTTGCCCTTAATATTTTTGAGAATGGAATAACCAAATACATCTAGTTCCCGGAGGTCACGTGCGTGTGACTGTCTCATTTCTAAAACCGTACCTGCATATCCACACTTTGGGATCTAGTGGACTCAGTACCCTTACCCCCTTCACTCCTCTTTTTGGTCTGGAACTATTTCAGAGCTAGAAACAAGTCGCCCAAGGCAGAAGTCATAGGTTCTAGGCAGTTGGATGGTTTTTATAAAATTCTCTCCCTTGTCGTCTGGCTGGGCAGGACGCACATTTGCTGGGAGGCACGCAACCAAACGCCCACGGCTGGGTGAGGCTGCCGCTCCACTGCTGCCTCCCTCCCTCGACTGGAGACTAAATATAGGAGTGTCTGCCAGCCCATTCCCTGTGCCAAGCCCTGGCACCCACGTCGGTCCACTCGTCCACAGTGAGCTGGGAAAGGGATTGTTTTCAAAGACTTGTGTAGCCTCAAACACCTATGCAAAGCTCATCACGTCCTTTGTCAAAAAAGATCCCAGCTCTGGTCTTGACAGCATGTTAGTTTCCCCAGGAGAATCACCAAAAAAAACAAAACAACAATAAAAAAAAAACTACCCTACATTTTACAAAATAAAACTCTTGAATTTGCTTGAATCTAGTTTTAGGAAGGGAGAATGTTTTTTATACAACAACAACAACAAAAACTATGATGCCTTTAAAATGCCTATACCAGTGCCCAACGTAGACTAGGCCCGCATTACAGTTTAACTTTAAAGGATTGTACAATAATATATCAGCACTCAAGGATGACAGAAAAGTCCATGCATTGTGCCTCACATTCAGTTGCCTTCTCTTGGACACGTGCAAAAGGAGGCAAAGTTAGTGTTGGGACAACTGCCACCCCCACCCCACTCCATCACAGTGACTCTCCAAGCGCCTGGCCCACCTGTAAAAGGACCTGCTCATAAGCCCAGAGGCGATCAAAGCAGGAAGAACTGTCCCGTCTGCCCCACCAGGGTCTGGAAGACCGCAAGCTGCAGGCTAGCTCTGGCCGACTCTGGCCCTTGTACAAAACCAAACCAAACTAAAACAGAGAAGAATGCAGCAGAGACTGTATTTCAGGCCTGCAACGCCTGAAATATTTACTCTCTGGTCTTTAAGTTTGCCAGCCCCTGCTGCAGTTCAACCCCTTCATTTTTCTGATGAAGAAATCAAGATGTAGACTCCCTGAGCTGCTTATGGGGTGCTAGTGGCAGAACCAGGACGGGCCCTGGGGGGCTGATTCCCATCCCGTGTTCCTGCCGTGACAGAACGCAGTCCCCAAGAACCTGTGAAACATACATGGCTGCCGGGGAGCTTGCGGGTGTTCCACCCACTGCCTCTCCGTCCTAACTTCTCGCTGACCCTAACCCTGGGCAGCTATTACAGTCCCCAGAATGGATTATGTTAACTTTTTCTCTCTGTCAAAGAGTCACCTGTCCCTCTTCCCCTCTCCCTGTCTCTTCCCCTCCACTCCCTCCTCATTGCGCCCCCTGCTCTTCATCTCAGGAGCGTGTCCTGGTTATAACCTGCCTTCGCTTTGTCTTTCAGGTTCACTGCTGGCCTATAATACATCCTCCCACACAGACCAATCCCCACGACTGAGTGTCAAAGAAGGTAAGTCCGTTCCTTGCGCACTTAGAAGTTTGCTCAGTACCAGGCCTGGCACCGTTCCCTACTGTTGAGATGGGTGGAGGGAGGCCCCAGCCTATGCGCATACCCTCTCGTTCCACGCAGTGCTTCTGAGCATTCGAGACAAGATGCCGAAGCTCATCCGGCTTGTGCCGTGGGTTGGGGGGAAAAAAAAAAGAAGGGTTTTAAAACATCTTGTACAATAATAATAATAGCATAAAGATATGATTTGAAGGTGTTACTCCATGAAAGGAAATGTGTTGGTCTTAGAACGAAATGAATATTGCTCACTTTCAAAGCCAAAAATTGCCTTTTCCCTGTTGAAGATAATGGAATAAAGATTTTTAGGGACTTTTGCAATGCTACATTTAAAACAAAATTTAAACAATTTTTTAAACAATCTGAAAGTGGTGATGTGGGGATTTGGTCTAGCTGGTTTGGTTTGGTTGAGAGAAAAGGAAAACAGTCTCAGTAAACACTCTTGCCAGTGACAATTTTAGCAAACGTTACAATAGCATTTCTCAACGTCTCTATTTACAAGACAATATTGTAAAGGTTTATCGCTCCAGATACTGGGTTAGATTCTAGGCATTTAAACAAGTGAACAGAATGCTAAAAGGAAGAAAAAATGCGAATGAGGAAAACCTACGCAGGGCAAAAGGCACCCTCCTTGCAGGAGGGACGGGGAGTGTGGCGGGCGCTCTCTCTGCCCTGGCTCCCTCCTCTTCACTGCTCTCCTTATCGCGCACCTGCCGTAACAGAGGCGGAAGGCAGAGGTATTTAGTATTGGCTGCATTTAGAGTAGCACAGCATAAAATTTCAGAGAAACATACGACTCTGCTAATGGAAGAAATTTTAAGACCATTTGGTTCAAAATCCTCATGGGTGCCCTGGCCAGGTGGCTCTGTTGGTTGGAGCATCATCCAGTACGCTAAAAGTCTGCAGGTGTGAGCCCTGATCAGGGAATATACCTGGAGTGTGGGTTCGATCCCTGATCAGGGCACATACGGGAGGCAATAGATCAATGTTTCTCTCTCTCCCTTCCCCCCTCACCCCACCTCCTCTCTCTCTAAAACCAATAAATATACCCTTGGGTGAGGATTTAAAATAAAAAAAAAATCCTCATGGATTATGGCAGAAACAGAGATCCAGATATCCTGGCTGTCTTGACCAAGGTCACACCTTCAATCACATAGGACATTGTGTTTCCTGTTAATAATTTATAATCAAATGATAACAAAAAAAATTTAGCGGAGAAAATCTACAACGTCATGAATTTGATCGTAAACTTTCGTGGTTTTCGTTTGCTTCCTTCTCCTCTACCCCACCCTGGGCCAGTCCTATTTACGCTACTGTTCTCCTTTCCAAATCAGGTTTATTGAATTTTGCCATGCAAACTAAATTATATTGACTCATTCTACAGTCCAAGCCACATTTTATTTGATGGCCTATTTAACATCATGCTGCAAATGTCTATAAGAGAGAAAATGCATTGGAGTAGCACACACAACTAGCGGCCAGGGCACTTTGGGGAAATCACTCCATCCCCTGGACCTTAGTGTCCTATCAAATGAAGGGGCAGAACTAAATCCATGTGTGTCAAACACACTCTTGAATTTGTGGCCTCTAGGGCAATGACTTGGAAGCCACAGAGCAAGGGCCCTGCCTTCATTCAGGGCCACTCTGCTTCCATCTGGCTCAATTATGAAACTTCATTTCATTTGCAGATAGGAGCCCACTTCTCAGAAGGAAGAGAAAGAGAGAGGACGGAAGGTCTGGAGAGAAAGTGAAGGAGGAAAAGGAAGGAGGGAGGGAGGGAGGAAGGGAGGGAGGAAGGAGGGAGGGAGGGAGGGAGGGAGGGAGGAAGGAAGGAAGGAAGGAAGGAAGGAAGGAAGGAAGGAAGGAAGGAAGGAAGGAAGTCCTTGAATGTTCCTCCAGCTCTACAGGCTAAGGCTGGCTGACAATGTCAGCATTAACTCATGAGACTCTGGGACAGAGCCAATGAGAGAATTTTTGATAATTGGGCTTAAAAATACAGATTTCAGTTTAGAAGCTAGTTTGTCTGAGTTGAACTGTATTAACAACAGACACATATTACTCCTCCAGGGGGCTCAGCTTTCAACCCTCTCCTCTACCTGCCATGTTGCATTTCCTTCCCTTGGCCCTTTTGTGTACAGTGAGTCCGTTTGTGAGACCACCAGGCTTATTCAGGCATCGCGGGAGCAGCTCGCTCTAGCTGGGTAGCAACCTTCTTCTGAAATGAATTAACGGTAGTATCCAGGCAAATGCATGCTGCCAGGATCTCATTCAGGTGGTGCCGGCCATTTATCTCCCAACATTGGCCAGGCCTCCAGAGACGATTAAGGCTGCGCTTTGCAGGTGCATCTTTTGTCCCCAATAACGCTTTCCACTTGAGCTGTCTTGCTGTTCTGTCACCTCCCCCTTGTGAGACGGTCTGAATCTGTCTGAACAGCCATCAGCCACAAAACAGAGTGCATTAGCAAGACAAAGCTAACCCAGCTTCTCTAGCCTCCCCACCTCGCTCTCTTCTGTGTTTCTCTAATCCCTACCCTTAGTTCTTAAAATATTAAATGGAAAAATAAAGAGAACACATCACACACCCTGGCTCCATCTTGTTCAAATGAAGACACTCACAGAGCCCCAAACAAACCTGGAGTTCATCTAAAGCACCAGAGCTCTTTGTGTGTGTGTGTGCTGCTTCACACAAGGCAGGTGTTGGCATCAAGCACAAAGGAAAGAAGTTGAGGAGATGATGTCTATGAATGCTTCTTCAATGCACTTATCAATTAGAATGGCTTTTGACTTTAACGTGACATAATCACCCTTCCAGCTTGTCTCTTGGAAATGATTGCACGCTCTAAGGGTTATTTGTGCTCAGGAAGTAAGGCTAGTTTTTAAAAATTAATGTATAATGGTCTTTAAGCCCCTTAATGAAATATTCTATGGTCATAGATTGGACCCAACTAGAAGAGTTGTAATCTCTCTACTGTTAGTTACCAAGGCCAATGCACTTAAATAATGTAGGATGGAAACATGATTGCCTATTTGCAATAGCAGCCACAGCTGCTGTCTACATAGACATCTGTAATGCTTTGGAAACATCCACACGCCGTGGCTCTTTTGAGCCTGGCAGCCTCCCTAGGAGGTAGAAATGATTATCTCCATTTTGCAGACAGAGAAAGTGAGGCTGGGCGATGTTAAATCAACAGCAGCGCAAGGACTCAACCCAGAATGCAGAATTCAGGATCTTTGGCCGCAGATGGTCTCCCTGACAAACACAGCCTTTCTGCCTCTAGCTGACTTCTCATTGAAACAATACTTGGCCTAAGAATATAGTTTGTGCAGAGATTTGAATTTTTTCCCTTTAGTTGTCTCCATCCCTGTGGTTTTCCTGCTATCACCCCCGCCTACATCCCTATGCTGTTCTCTTTTCCCAAAGATGAATTCACACAGCCCCTACTTGGCACTACCTCCTAGTCCTAACCACGCAGAGAGCCACCTGGTGAGCTTTTTAAACATGCTGATGCCGTAGGACCGACATGGCGTGCCTCCACTCATATTAGGTACCTTGAGTAAGCAAATCAGAAAGCTAGATGGTGGATCCCAAGGTCTGGGGGAGGAGAGAAGGAATGGGGAGTGATTGTTTAAAAGGAACAGAGTTTCAGCCTGGAAAGACGACCAGTTCTGATTGTTATGGATGCACAACCTGAATGTACTTAGTGCCACTGGAACATGCTGAAAATGATCAAAATGGTAAATTCTATGTATGCTTTACAATAAAAATGCAAAAAAAAAAAATTCTTTAAAAATACTGATGCTTAGACCCCAAACAGGACTAATTAATTCAGAATCTCTAGGAGGGCCATGTAGGCACTGAACATTTTCAAAGCTCTCCAGGTGACTCTGACAGCTTGCTGCTGAAATTGAGAAACCCTGTCGTATGACAGACACAAACTGGAAAGATAAGAACAAGCCCCATCTCAGAACCACCCAGGTTGTGCTGGAGAAACACTGGGCAGTTGACCTTGACCTTTCGTGGCCTCCAGTCAACCTGGAAAAGGAAGAGCAGGGCCTACTGGTATGCTAATGAAGCTGTAGGGTGAGGAAGGATGAGGATTACAAATTAAAAATAAAAATAGAAAGTAGGCATGTAGTAACTTGAATGTACAAAGAGGACACTGGAGCCCCAGAAGTTAAGTGGCCTTTCCAAGCGCATGCCGTTGTGGAGCCCGACCACTGGCCTTGCGAACCTTGTCCTCTCTGCTCTCCGTGCTGGGGCTCCAGCGCATCTGCCCCGGGCGCAGATCAGAGCCCCTCCTTGTGTTCGTGGTAAACTCTGCCCTGCGGGCCTCCCCACGTCCTCAGGTGGACAACCAGCTTGCAAGAATCAGATCTCTCCCTCGGAGAGCTTTGCGCACGTAAACCCTCATTTCCTCAAGGTCATGCTGGATCTGTTTAAATACCTCCGACTCTCCAAAAGTCAGAGGATATTGAACTCCCTGTTTATTAACTCCTGGAACTCATAAACCCACCACGGCCCGCATAGCCCTGAGCTTCCAGCCCCAGCCTGGGAAGCCGTTCAGGGCCTGCCGCTGAATGCAAAGCCGCTTCTCCACCGCGGCACCTTGTCTGCCTGCCTACGGAACAGCCATCTCTAGTGGTTGCATTGGCTAATGGATAAAAAGTCTGTCTGCTTACACGCCAAATATAGAAAAGAGAGCAGGAGAAACTCCAAAATGCAACCTTTACAGTAAAACGCCTGGCCAGGCCCTGGAGACCCTGCCAGCGGGACCCCTGCGTCTCTCCCAAAGGCCCCGGGCGGCCGCGGCCTGTGCCGGCAATGAGACCGCCTTGCAGCTTCCCCGCTGTTCGCCAAGCACTGCATGTCCACGACCTCGTCCGTGCCTCCTGCCGTCACCAGGAGACAGCAGGGCTGGTATCACTAGGATCCCACTCTGTAGAGA